GTTGGCTTGGAGCTAAAGCGTCAATACTGTTCCAAAGGACAGTTTTAATTTCTTTCCGTTAGGATATTTCTAACTTAATATTCTGTATTAGTGATTTTAATACTCGAGTTCATAAGAGGTTTGATAGTCACGTTGTTCAATTTTTAGTTTTCCCTTCCTATCCCCAGTGAGTTCGCAACGCCGGTCTCTTCTCTGCAACATTCGTCTTACTGCCGCCATAGCCGACTTTGCTTTCAATAGAATTTATGGATCTATCGGATTGTAACTGTTGTGCTCAGGTTTTTGCATTATGTCATATAAGTCTGACGTCAATAAAATATTTAGACGTTTTCGAGCAGCAGATTAAACAGACGAAAGCACAACTAAGTGCAAAATATATGCAGTAAAATATGTAAACAAAAATATGTACTGTAAGAGATCGTTTTCATGTACAGCAGTCTACTGTCCCTAAAAAACAATACATGCATTAATCTGGGCTAATTGTCGTACTACTGATGCCACTTTACGGAGCCACATTGACAGACTGCGTATTTAGAAAGTGTATAGAACACCAGACTTGCGGTAGAAAAGTTGCAAGTTCAGATTTTTCCGCATTGACCACCTTTTATCCTTTTCGACATACATAACTGAATAACGATGTGAGCAAGGAAGCGAAAAATGGTACACTGTAGAGGCCAGTTTTACTTTCACGAAATGTTTTATCAACGGATCACCACCTGGTAGTCTGCAAACCGCGTCTTTCGAAATCCATGATGACCGGCAAGACCGGTAAGTTGAATCCTGTTTAACAGATGAAGTGGGAACTTTAGAAAGATGAATGTGGGCCAACAGCTTGTCGATGAAACGTTAGCGAGGTTTGACCACGTATTCGACTAATTATTTTTAAGAAGTCCTAATGTAACTGTTTCTTGACTATTTTCGACCTTATCTTGTTGTAGGCTGGAAGGCCTGCTATTTCGACTGGCGGTAAGAAAATAACCCACTGCCGAAGACCAACAGTTCAATCGGTTGTGAAAGAATCAAGCATATTTCATCTGACTAGATACAAAGTTTATGCGGTTTCTCGTAACTGTAAACAAGGTTCTCAAAGGTAGACTCTTTCAGAACAAGGACTCGTAGATTTTTTAGAAGAAAATCAATATCCGAATATCGACTGGCAGTAAATTAATCAGATTTCAGCCAGGTAATTAAACGGAAACCTTATGGACTGGTGTTTGACATACATCATCCAGATCTTCATCTTCCATCGCCGCTTCTCCTTTCGGGTCGCGGAGGCAGACGCGAGTGCTTCCAACGTTTCCGATCCTGTGCCAGAGTCTGCGCTTCGGCAAAAGACAAATGCAGTCTGGAACAGACTCCTTCCATATGTTTGCACCAGGTTAATCTTGGCC